ACCAGGCTGACCTCGAACTCACAAAGATCCGCCTGCCTCTGCCTCCTGAGTGCTGGGATTAAAGGTGTGCGCCACCACCGCCTGGCTAACACATAGATTTTTGACTGTTGGATAATCCCATTAGTGCAGAAGCATAAATCAACAAAACACTGAGATAATATTTAAATTTTGTGCTAATTTTGCACGGCTCCGTGGATAAAGACACTTGCCCCTGAACCCAACAACCCAGAGTCCACAGGGCGGAAGGACTGACTCCCGCTAACCATCCTCTCACCTCCGCAGACATGCCAGGATACGTGTCTACCCACACACATGCGCTGTTCCCAAACTAAAACAAACACATGCAACAATTAAACAAATAACTATAATACATAAATTTTACCACGAGAAAGGTATTGGCATGGACTAGCTGATAGGTACACCTGGCTTAGTGTTCAGGATTAGGTACTGCACAAGAAGACTAGACAGCATCCTAGAGTCTTACGTGGATGACAGCCATGTCCCCAAATTGAACCACAAACCTCCAAATATACATGCTACTGATGAATTAATCTGGGGGAGGATTATCTTCAGTTTTAAATGGCAAACAAATTTTTGATGAACCAGGACAGAAGAAAATCTAAATTGACTGACTTCCTATTCTTGCTGTAAAATTGTTGCTATATCATTTTTAAAGATTTATTTTATGTTTAAGTATGTGTATATGTGTGAACACACACACTTGTGAGTGCAGATGCCTGAAGAATCCAGAAGAGGGCACCATCAAATCTCCCCGAGCTGAAGTTACAGGCAGTTATGAGTCCTCCAATTTAGGTTCTGGGAACGGAACTCTCAGGGCTCTTAATCACTGAACCATCTCTCCAGCCTGCATATTATCCTCTAAATGAAGAGACAAAGAACTTTTAATACAGGGGAAAGAACATTAGAAGAGGTGTATGAGGCAGTTCATCTGTTTAAAATGGTCTCTCTGAGCTATTTGTGAGAGTTACCAGTCTTTGGAAATGTATAACTTACGGTAATTTCCTTTTCTTACTCTGAAATGTTTTCTCCACACCTGGTTTTGTATTTGTGGAAGAGAGAGAGAGAAAGAGAGAGAGAGAGAGAGAGAGAGAGAGAGAGAGAGAGAGAGAGAGAGAGAGAGATTGAGAGCGCCCTTAGAACTGAGTGAGCCACAAATTCCTCAAAGTCTGAGCCTGCCCCGGAGTATCAGTCAATGATCATACTGTAGCTCCTAAAAATGAAACCACTGTGGTCACCAGGACCTAAGCGGTACTGAATGCTGGCCAGCAGGTGGCAGTGTGGTACAGCAAGTCCAAATAACAGGACGCTTTGTAGTGGAAAGTGTCATCAAGATGAAAGACTACTTACTTATTATCTATCTACGTGCTTTTGGGGTAAGATTTTTTTCAATATAGTCCTGGTTGTTCTGGAACTCACTATGTGGACCAGGCTGTTCTTGAACTCATAGATACCCTCCTGTCTCTACCTTCCAAGGCGTGAGCCACTGTGCCCCAGTGAAAGGTTATTTTTTTGTTTGTTTTTGTTTTTCGAGACAGGGTTTCTCTGTATAAAAGCCCTAGCTCTCCTGGAATTCGCTCTTGTAGAGCAGGCTGGTCTTGAACTCACAGAGATCCGCCTACCTCTGCCTCCCTGGTGTTGAGATTAAAGGCATGTGCCACCACTGCCCGGATATTTTTAATAGTACCTTGTACTGGATGCTTCACTTTTGGCTTTGGATATGTTTTAGGAAAGGTAGGAACTGTGCCTGTAACTCCCCTGTGCAGTTAGGATGCTGTGCTCATGAAACAGCCTGCCAACCTTCACCCATGGTGCAATCGGCTGCTTTTTAATCAGCAGGCACACTTGGCTTTGGCATCTGATGACATCAAGTGATTTTAAAAGAAATCTTCTTCCTTATTACTCCTCAGGAAAGATCACTGTCCTTGCATCTAAGGACAGCTTCTTGCTGATCTTCAAAAGCAAATACTCATTTGCAGAGTCTGTTACATACAACACTAAAAGCACATCCTGTTGACGAACAGTCAGAGTCACAACAGTTGTTAGGAGCCATTTCCTCCCCAAAATTATTACAGGAACCATCGCCCTGGGGAGTCTGCAGAGAACCCCACACCCCCAATTGTATTAAGAACCGTTCTATTGACAGAGCCTACCCCACACCCAATTAGCTGTTAATAGAGAGCTATCTGTTAGCAGAACCCACCCCACATTCCAAACTATCTAGAGAACTAGGTGTGTCAACTCGTGACTTCCTGGCCTATGTGACCTGACTGAACGTAACCTCCTGGCCTACGTGACCTGACTGAACGTAACCTCCTGGCCTACGTGACTGGCAAGAGTCCAGGCCCCTGTGCCCCCCCCCCAATTCCTTATCCTATATAAGCTGTAACCCTGTCTCTAATAAACGGAGGCTCTGACAAACCTAGCATGGCCTCCTTCCCCTCTCTCACGCCCATTATCTTACAGATAGTGCCTCTCCGGGACCCTGGAATTACTGAACTGCAGGGTGGGTTACAACCCCTAGACTAAGTAACCCACCTGAGGCGGTTTACACACAGTGACCTGTGCAATGGCAATACAAGGGTCAATTCCAGGCTACCCCCCCAGGACCTTCTCAACATGAATGCGCAAGAATCCAGAAAGACTGAAGTATCGACAGTAAGAGCTGACACGTCCACAGGGCTGCACAGTGTACCACGTCTTATGCAACTGGATTGACTTGGATGATGCTCATGGGTGATGCCATTTCCTGCCTGTGTGAAGATGAAGAAACGGGGTCGCAGTTATTATGTAACTTACTGGTGGTGTTTAGATCCTCAGTGTCCCTCAAAGGTCAGCACAGTAAAAAGCCTGGTCCCAGTCCATGGCACTATTGGGAGGTGTGAGGAAATTAGGTTGCTGAGTGTGGAGGCCTGGAAATGTGAGCCTATTTCCCTGTCAACCAAAGGTCAGAGAGCTGGGACTTACCTCTAATTCCTTCAAGGTTATCGTGTTTCTACCTCAAACAAAGATTTCACCTAGATTTAGAGCAGAGAGTTCTGCTCTCACAAGGTTATTGTCATTAGGTGTGGCTAATAGCCAGTCTTCATGCTTCAGAAATAGAGAAGTAGTTATTCTTACCTCAAACAAAAGTCTAAGGATCCAACTAAGTTCCAGTTCTGTTGTAATAGGAGCAGTGGGGCTGTGTCCCTGGCACCCCGGCCGCCTGGCTAGCTTATGCCCCGAAATAACAACACACAAATTGTATTCTTTTAAACACTGCTTGGCCCATTATATCTAGCCTCTTCTCAGCTAACTCTCGCACCTGGACTAGCCCATTTCTAATAATCTGTGTAGCCCACGAGGTGGCTTACCAGGGAGATTCTAGCCTACATCCATCCTGGGTGGGAGCTTCATCGCGTGTTCCCCGGGAGAGGGGAGCATGGCAGTGGCGGGAGCTGGGTGGCGGAATGCAACCCGCAGCACCCCACTACACAGTTCCCTTAAGGAGATAACACTGGATTCCACCCAGGGAATGGTTTGCCTACAGAATGTTTTGGTCTAGGGTATGAGCATGACTTATTTTGTTCTAGCAGCAGAATGTTTAATTACAGTGCACAACCTTCAATTGGTATGTTCATTTCCTTGTATCGTGTTAATGTAGTTTTTGTCTTACTCCTACCTTTTGGAGTCAGGGGTGTTTTAAGCAGTTGGAAATTAAGGGAGGGCGAATTTCAGTACTCACTAGAGTTCCCTCCTGATACTATCCTATGTTTCTCCATTTTATTTTCATTCATGTCTTTATATTCTTTACTATATTTCTAAATCCCCACGCTTCTACCCTGGCAAGAGGTATTTTTGTGGGGACTGGCCCCCAACAACTGAGGCGTGCTGTTTAAGGGCATAATGAGGGGCTCCCTCCTTCCTCTCCACCCCTCTCCTGGCAATGAGTTTTGCTCTGCTACCCTCTTTCCTCTTCACGCTGCTGGCACACTATCCTGACTCACCAGGAGCTCAGAAGCAACAGCTGGGGCTGGTGAGATCAGAAAAGTGTTTGTCATGTGAGCAGCGCACCACCTACACCCGTCCTTTCTCTGGACACCATGCCATCAGCAAGGGGTGGGGACATTCTTCCACTACCCCCGGGGCCCCGTTAGCATGTTTTCACTGCCAATCTCCTGACTCAACCTCCTGTTCCTCTACATTAGCTCTGAACACCTTTTCCTGTCTCTAGCCTTTCAACCCCACTACCCCACTACTCCACCTGCCCCCAGCTTTCCTCCCCATCACACTTTTCTTCCTAAAACACTGAGTGGTCAGTCCCTGACTCTGAGATCCTAAGAGGCTTCTCTGGGTGTAAACCACGTTCTGGTAATGATGCCACATAAGGGCTGCCGAGCCTTTATTGTTTCTAGGCTCGCCTCTGCCTATAACGTCCACTCTGTTCCTTCACTGGGACTTAGAACACTTGAGGGATGCACGGGTACCTTTATCACAGCTAGACAGTGGAGAAAACCTAAGCCTTTAGTGACCACCTGTGGGTCTGTATCTTACTCTGTCAACAGCGGTGCCCTCTCCCTGTTCTTGCTTCCTTGACCTGTGAAATGGCCACAACATCCTTTTCGGAAGGAAGGTTTGCTGTGCACCTTGCGCCCCCCGACTGTGCTCTATGCGTTAGAACCCAGTTCGTGAGCTTCGGCCAAGGGGCTGGAGGTTGAGGAAACACACGCAGAGACAGACAGACACACGTACCTTCAATCGCTGGTACAAAAGCCCTTCTTTAATAGCACCACTGAGGCTTAAATACCCTGCAGTCAATGGCCAACAGGTGAAAATCCCATCCTCTGATCCTCTAGGCAAAGCACAGCTTCTAGTAACTTCCATTAGAAGGCTCTAGACAGGGAAGAGCAGCTGAAGGCCAGGACTCAATTGCTCCCAACAAGGTTAGTCACCAAACAAACATTTCCAGAGTGTCTGCTGATCACGAAGCCTTGCTGCCAGGACTGGATAAATATTTGTTTCTTCTGCGGTGATTTCTCCACACCCACGGTCTCTCACCTTTTAAATGCTCCCTCTCCCTCAGCAGAGTAACCCATCCCTGGAAAACAATCCTTCCAAGGGGGCTGAAAAGTTCCTGGTGACATCATGAAAGTCTCCCCCAGCAGATGCAAAAGACAAAGCTGTGTGCTAGAGAGAGAGAGAGAGAGAGAGAGAGAGAGAGAGAGAGAGAGAAATGGCTCCTTCTTGCTTTTTTTTTTTTTTAAAATTAGCCTAGAAGGAGGAGGGAGAAAGAGGTGAAGGATAAGAGAGTTAAAATATCCTGGGATCTGGAGAAGAGGCAGGGCGGGCTGGAGATGGGTTCCCAAAAGAATCAATTGTTACTGTACCTGTCAGATCCACCACAAAACGGTCTTGGTTTTTAATAAAAAGAATGAGCAGAAGCCAGGCGGTGGTGGCACACGCCTTTAATCCCAGCACTCGGGAGGCAGAGGCAGGCAGATCTCTGGGAGTTCGAGGCCAGCCTGGTCTACAAGAGCTAGTTCCGGGACAGGCACCGAAGCTACAGAGAAACCCTGTCTTGAAAACACCTCCCCCCCAAAAAAAGAGTGGTTGTTTTCAAACTACTCTCCAAGTCCCATGGGCCACAGTGTGGACACACCTGGAAACATCTCACTAAGTGAAAAAAGCTGGTCACAGTGGTCACTGTCACCTTTTATCCTGAAATTCTATTTACAGACAATGAAACAGCCAGAGCAGGCAAAGCCAGAGAGACAAAAACAAAGACTTAGATAGCCATGGGGATGGGTAATAGCTGGTAGGAAGTATCTTCTCTTTGTGGTCACTGTTAGAGTTACATTGCCATGTGATAGCACACACACACACACACACACACACGAACACAGGGAGATCAAGGCTAACCTGGGCTGCTTAGTGAATCTGAGATCAGTCTGGGCTACAGAGAGAGAGAGAGATCTTGTCTCAAAAACAAAAAAAACAAAAAAAACAAAAAAGCAGAGTTGTACACTCAAGGTGAATTTTATTTTATTTTTTTTAAAATATTTATTTATTTTTTATGTATACAATATTCTGTCTGTATGCCTGAAGGCCAGAAGAGGGTGCCAGACCTCTTTACAGATGGTTGTGAGCCACCATGTGGTTGCTGGGAATTGAACTCAGGACCTCTGTAAGAGCAGGCAATGCTCTTAACCGCTGAGCCATCTCTCCAGCCCTCAAGGTGAATTTTATACCGTGTAAAACGCATCTCAATAGAGCTGTGTTTCTTCTGTGTTACTGTTCTGCGTTGGTGCAAAACGATGGAGTCTTTATAAAACCAAGAATTTGTGTAGGCATGGCTGATTTTTCTCAAGGAACTCACAACAGACGAGATAATGAGTCATCTACTTGTACATGAAATGCTAGAGAATATGCAAGTTATGCCATGGGGAAGAGGATAAAATGCACCAAGAAAATGTCTCCATTTATGAGGAAACCACTCCTAACATTTTTATTATCATACAAAAAAACTAGGTACAACTTAAAAACCCAGTGTAAGAAGTGATTAAATTGTGGCACATTCATCTATGTGGGAAAAAGTGTTGGTGAGAATCTGGAATAACGTGAGGAAAAGACCATGAAATCCCCTAAATGGCCCAAGGAGATAGGAAAAGTGTTTGCCTAGTCTGACTCCAGCATCATCAAACACATCTATGTGCACGTTCAGAAAAGACTAGAGGCAAAATCTCAGAGACATAGGCAGCACTGCAGGCTGAGCAGGCATGCAGACCTCGCTCCTTGTGTCTTGAAATGTTTGTATTTTCACTGGGAGCAGAAAGGACCTGCCTATCATAAAGAATAATTTAAGAAGTACAAGTGGCAGCTAAGGACTACGTGGTTGCGTGGGTAAAGTAATGGCCTAGCTTGAACCAAGCCCTGGGTCCCATCCCCAGCAAAGAATATTCTGGTGTGGACATGGTCACACAGGCCTGCAACCCAGAACTCAGGAACTGGATGCAAGAGAATCAGAAAGAAGTTCCAGGTCAGGCTAGGACTGTAGCTCAGTGGTAGAGTGCTTGCCTACCATACACGACACCCTAGGTTCAATTCTCCATCCTGGAAAAGAAGTTCAAGGTCCTCCATGGCTGAATAGGGAGTTTGAGGCAGCCTGGATTACAGGAGCCCCTGTCTCAACATTAAAATAAATAAAAATAAAAGATACACAAGAGTATATAATCAAGTAAGATAGATATTCTTGTTCCCTTGGTTCTTGGTTCTCCGGCCCCAGAGGCAATCAGGCATTTGCATGGAAAATCAGCAGGCACACCAGGGCAGAAGGCCTCCAGTATCCAATGGCTAGGATGGTTGCCTGGGTTAGCAACTGTCACAGGACAGAAGGAAAGAAAATGGTGCTTGTAGCTTCCTCTCCTCCCAAGCAGTGCACCCAAAGGATCATACACAGCGCATGACTTCCCCGAGCACAAGGCCCACACTGGTATGTTGGGGCTCCTTTGATCCTGCAAGGTTTTTTCCACTTTTCTCTCTAATCCTAAAATCTCTTTATCTGGAACTTTTCATGCGTCACTGAAGATAAAAGGCTGAAGATGCCAGCGCTGCGTGGACGGGGCATGGAAAATCTACTGCGCTCAGAACAAGACCAGTCGGGATCTGCGCTGCCAGGCTGACTTTGGGATTCACGCTTACCAGCCTGCTGAGTTTCTCCCTCTAAATCAATTAACTTTCTTCTTCTTAAATATGTTTTAAAGAGAATTTTTTTAAAAATTGCCTGGTAGTTTTGCTCGCTTTTGTTGTTATTTTGTGATGGTGAAATCCTATCGGTGCCCAGGGTCTCATGCAGGCCAGGCAAGCACTCTACCGCTGATCTACAACCCCAGCCCGTGAGTTTTTTTTTTTAAATTAGATTTGAATATAGCACTTAGCATTTAAAAACATGTCCATGTCCCTCTAAACAACACAGAGTAAATGAGGTGGCCCAAGCACCAACTGCACACTGCTCACCTCACTCACTCTGACTGTCTGCTTGTGTACTCGCCATTTTCCAGAAGCCACTGGAATCCACACTACTTTTGGTTGCTTAGTTCACCTCCTGAAAATATAAATCTGCTGTTACTCCCCTGGCAAATCTCTTGTTCACCGCTCACTGCCCTAGATCTGTTCACAGAAAGACATCCGAAGCCCTTTAATTTGGCAACAAGTTTAAGTTGAACTTGTGAGGTGACAAAGAGGCCTCAGAGTGTTATGTGTACTTATTTCTGGGGCTTTTAGCCCTGCTCAATGTCTATTCTTTATATTAACTTCTCAGCTTAAAATCGTAAGACTCTTACCAGGAGAGATGTTTCAGGGTTAAGAGCGTTTGCTGCTCTTCCAGGACCAGCTTGTTCCCCTGCACCTATTTCAGGGGGATTACAGACACCTGTAACTCTAGCTCCAGGGGATCTGAGGCCCTCTTCTGACCTCTGAGGTACACAATCACATATACATACAAATAAAAGCAACTAAAGTTAAGCCTTAAAGAACAGCAGTATATAGCTCAGCTCTAATTGGGCCTCAATAAGGTGACATCACATTTACTCAGGGCTTCCTATATGTGCACTGCCTCACAGTGGGACAAACATCCCAGAACTCAGGGGCCGAACAACATAAAGCAAAGCCAGACTTGGTCTCTCCCCCTTCTCTCTTGTCCTCCCTCCCTCCCTCCTTTCGTTCATTTTTTTGGGGGGAAAATTCTCAATATGTACCTCCAGCTAGTTTGAACTCACTCACTAAGTAGCCCAGGCTAGCCTCAAACTTCCAATCCCCCTGCCTCAGCCTCCTAGTGCTGAGATGACCATTTTGCACCACCATGCCCACCAACATCCTCATCCTTATGAATGACAAACTCTTGAAAGGGAATTCCTGAGCAGCCAGTCACCGAGTCTCATTTTCCTTCAAGTCTCTGTGGCTCTGATTTCTCCTACCTCAACAGCTCCTTAAGCTTGCTCCTCCAGTAAGGATGTGGTTGATGCATAGACGGGAATCCTCTCCTTGCTCCTTAACATGGGTGAAACAGAATAGGATTTCCTGAAAGAATGCAAAACACCGAAGAGGCACAGTGGATGAGAGACAGAACAGGTAAGAAATAGTTTTGTCTAGCATCCCTTTACTCGGGTCAGCACGTGGGGTGGGGGAGGGTCTCTGTCACACTGGGGAGGGTCTCTGTCACACTGGGGAGGGTCTCTGTCACACTGGGGAGGTGCTGTGCAGAAGCACTGAGAGGGGAACCCGGTTCCCTCAGTTGTAACTCCTCCGGCACAGACTCCGCTGGCCTCCCTGCTTCCTTGGATGTCCCCCTGCAGCAAGAACTGTCTTGTACAGATTATGGAGAGGTGATGAAGTCAGAGTCCCTGGCCAGCTTGCTCTGTTTCCCACTCTGAATCCCAGTCCTATCTTATTCTAACTGCTACCTGAGATCACTGCTCTCTGCTTCCACAGGACTGGGTGGGACCTCCTCTTTTTTGACTCTTTATCTGTGCTCGCATGGAGGATGATGTGCGAAGACCTCCTTCCCTTTGTCTTTAGTTCTCTTCATACCTGTCATAGAGCCCAAGAAAAAGAAGGGCTGCCAACATGTTAGCCTACCTTTTTCCCACATGATGCTGAAATAGAGACATTTCGCCTGGTTGAGGACACATGCCCACACATGTGGGACCTACTCACATGTATCACACAAAGCACAGTGCTCACCTCAGTGGGGAATGAGACATGGCTTATTCAGTAACCAACTATGAGTAACTGTAGCCCAGGGATACAAATTCAGGTTGTCCCAAATAACGCATTCCAATGTGAGAAGTTTATAATGAAACTTTCATAGTTACAGAACAAAAGGATGTCATCAATCACGGTGCAAGATGAGGAAGACCTCGGGTAGGTGGATTACGACACAATGAAATGAGGAAACCTTCTATGGTCCTTAGATGCTACCTGGTGACAGGTTTTCCTTTTCAGCTGGTGGCAGTTAGTGGCCTGTTAATACATTTCGAGAGTTTTCACCTAATGATGACCAGGACCCTAAACCCAGGTGTGGGCTAGTACCAAATCTAAAGAGAGCCCAAGACAATTTGACTTTGTATCTGTGTTATTTAGGCTGTCTAGAGTCACAAAATTCTAATCAGCCAATCAGCCTTGCAGAATCTTTAACATAAACATGGTGCTTCTTCTTTCTGGGAACTTCAGTTCATGCATGTATCTGTGACTCTATATCCAGTAGGATAAACATACCTTATACAAAACTATCCCTGTAACATCCACAGAACACACGCTACACAAGAAAGTCATTCAAGTGCAGGGTAGCAGCAATAGTTCCAACAGCTGAGGAGCAGTGACCCAAATATCGTCACCAATAGCTAAAGAAAATCTTCCAGCAAGACCTGGAGCGAGGCCTGGCTCTGGGCAGAAGATACATACCACTGGGAGCAAAGGTAGAGAGGGGCTACACACACACACACACACACACACACACACACACAGGCACGCACGCACGCATGCACACATGCACGCATACACGCACACACAATTACAAACTAGCCATTATAGTGAACTATAAAAACTGACCTCTGGAAATAAGAAAATATTGAGAAAATAGGATGAGCAATGTCAGAAAATGTTCCCAAAGTCATGGGTGCCTCAGGTTGTAGAGGTAAGATCCAAATCTCGTTTTCCCTCTTGGGAAATGCCAGGGGCATGTCTAGAGTTCAGGCACCATGGTCTCTTTGGTCCCATCTGGATAGCACAGATCCTACATTCCTTCAAGGGCAAGGACAGGAAGGGAAGCAGGAGGAGGGAAAGCACTGACTCACGCCTCCCCGCGCTTCTCCAGCAAATGCATCCATTCATTTGCATGGGTACAAACTTACTTTCAGCATCCAAGATTATATCTCCAGAGAGCAGTGGGAGGCCTCCTCCCACGCGGACTCCCATCTGTTCTTCTGCTGCCAGCAAATGCGTGGCTGGGAGATCAGAAGATAAAGATGTAAATGTCCCGAAATTACGACCAGACTCGGACAACAGAAGGCATTCAAGTGTCAGACAAGAGGAGGAAATGAAAGCATACAGAACTGAGTCTGCCACCAAATATGTGTCACATACATCCCAGAAGAGCCTGCCCGAACGTCCTTTACAAATGCTGCAGAAATGGAGTGGGAAGGTGGCTGTCAGTGTAGCGCTTGCTGTACAAGCAGGAGGACCTGAGTGTGAGCCCCAAATCCTTGTAAAAAAAAAAAAATAAAAAGTAAAAAAGTAAGACATAGGCTTGTAATTCCAATGCTGGGGGTGGGGGGGACACAGAAGCAGGAGGCCCTTTAAAGTTCTTTAAACGAATTGGCAAAGCTCTAGCAAGGGTCAGAGGACACCTCCCTGTTTCAAAAAGTAAGACTTAGAGGGTAAAGGCAATTACCACCAAGCCTGATGATCTGAGCTCCCTCCCCAGACTCACACGCCGTGAGAGGACCAATTCTGACCTCCAGACTTGGGCGCCATGACATCACACACACATACACACACACACACACACACACACACACACACACACACACAGCTACAAGAGCGGTCATCCATGGGAGTCACATGAACCCCACAAGCCTGGGCCCTGTTGCAAATCCCGATGACACTGAGATCGTGAGGGCTTAACCCTGCTCTGTTTAGCCACAAGGCATTATGGGATGGATCCCTGTGGCGGATAAGCTCCTCCAACTCCGAGAGACTCCAAGGGAACAGAGTTGAAGAAGTAAAGCAAAGGTCAGGAGCTAATAGCTTTTCGTCCACTTAAGGAACCACCTCTGTTCTCACCACGACCATCTGCTCAGGGTTTAATAGCCAGGGCAGAGAAAATGGCAGATTAGAACACCGGGTAGATCAGACTTGTCACTGAAGTTTGAAAGGTGCCATTGCCACCTGACCCGTGATTTTAAGTGGCAAAGCATAAGAAACATCGGACAAATGTTTAGCCCGTGTTAAAATATTTGCGGGAAGACAAAGAGAGCTGCGTTTGTAAACTTGGCTCCTGTTCAGGCACTAGCCGAGGGCTCAGAAAGGCTTCATTTGGCAGGACACACATTTGATTGTCAAACATTAGAAGCACTTAAGAAATTAAGTACATTTTATGTGTACATGAAGCTGAAAATGTTTAAGGGACTTTAATTAAATTTGTGAGTGGAACCAATGTTCACAGGAATTGAGTCTGTTCAAATGAACTTCCTTCAACACGCCTAAAGACGAAGAAAGAGGAAGCTTACTCCACCAGCTCTGTAAAGAAATCAGATAAGACTTCTGAATTCAGCATAGCAACCTGAAAACTCAGATTTTGCATTGGAAAATTAAATATTCATAACTTTAAATACAACATAACCATCCCAAAACAGGTATGTTCAAATAAAAAGGCTCCTCTTCAAACGTTTAAAAAAAAAACCCTGGCGACAGGTCATGTGACTAGGAATGCTTTCAGAATGTGTGTATGTATGGCAGATGTCAATGTTGTGTGCTTTTCTCTCTCTTCGCCTTATTTTTGTTTTAAGATTTTATTTTATGTATATGTATTTTTATTTTAAGTATATGGGTGTTTTGCCTGCGTCTTAGCTACTTTTCTAACACTGTGATCAGTCATCATGACCAAGGCAACTTACATAAGAAAGCCTTTAATTAGGGGCTCAGGGTTGCAAAGGGCTCATGTTTGTGACCATCGGGGCAGGGAGTATGGTGGCAGGCACTGGAGCAGTAGCTGAGAGCTTACAGCTCAAGATGTGTGCAGAGAAAGTTACCTGGAATGGCATGTGCTTTTGCAACCTCAAACCCATCTCCTCCAACAAGGCCACACCTCCTAATCCTTCTCAAACCGTTCTATCTACTGGGGCCCAAATATTCAAATGTCTGAGCCTGTGGGGTGGCCTCTATCATTCCAGTTACCACAGCCTGTATGCCTGGATATATACCACAGTGAATGCCTGTGCCTGCAGAGAACAGGAAAAGGCATCAGATCCTCTGGAGCTAGAGTTACGGGAGATTGTGAGCCACCATGTGGGTGCTGAGAACTGAGCCCTGGGTCCCCTGTGAGGCCAATAGTTGCTCTTATCAGCTCACCATCTCTCTTGCCCCAGCCATCTTACCAGCTTCTAAATCTGTTATTTGAAACAGGATTAAGAGAAGGTCAGTTTTATAATATATGATGGCTTAAAGGAGGAAAGCCCCCATAGGCTCCTATGTCTGCATGCATAGTCCCCAGTTGAACTAAATGTAAGATCAGGAGGTGTGGCCCTGTTGAACGAGGTATGTCACTGAGATTGGGCTTTGAGATTTAAAAGCCTTTGACAGGTCCAGCCCATCACACACACACACACACACACACACAGCCCAAGAATCGGAATGTAAAGTTCTTAACTACTGCTGTAGTACCATGCCTGTCTGCTCCCTGCCATGATGATAATAGACCAAGTCTTTGAAACTGTGAGCCAGCCCCCAAATAAATGCTTTCTTTGATAAGAGTTGCTTTGGTCATGGAGTTTCTTCCTACAGCAATAGAACAGTAGCTAAGGTAGCTAAGACATAATACAAGTACACATTAGAAATATATATATATATATATATATATATATATATATATATATATTTCTACTATGTAGCTCTGGCTGCCCTGGAACACATTATGTAGATCAGGCTGGCCTTGAACTCACAGTGAGTTTGCCTTTTGTCTCCCCAGTGCTGGGATTAAACTTCAAGGACAAAGAATAGAAAGAGGAGGAAGACAAAAAAACCCTATTGTTGTGTAGTCAGAAAGCTTCAGACTCTAAAAGGATCTCATGATTTCCAAGGAGTCATCTGTCGGCCTCAACAAATCTCCTTATGGAAGAAAATGCCAGAATTGATACACACACACACACACACACACACACACACACACGGTGATTGCTCTAAAGTATATGACTATATTCACCAGCAATTTAAAAGAGGGCGGAAGGAAGAAGGGAGGGGGAAGAAGTAGATTGTTGAAAAGAACTGTATTCTTTGATGATAGGGTGGAGAGAAGGAACTCC